AGGTTCAGCTTTTATTTCAGTGTATATAAAACCTCGAAGACCCATTGAAGGTAGGGGAATATCACAGGTGAATGTTTTGGGAATAAAGATATTTCATGTTACTGCTAATGAGAGTGAAATAATAATGGGTGTGTTTTTTTAATTGCTGAGGAAGATTCACGCTGAGCTAATATCTGTTGCCAACCTTCTGTTTTGTATGTGAGCTGCTGCCACAGCATGGCCACTGACGAGTGGTGTAGGTCTGCGCCCAGGAACTGATCCCTGGCCGCCAAAGCAGAGCAGGCCAAACTTAACCACTAAGCCACAGGGGCTGGCCCCAATAATGTATTTTAAGAAACCTAACCTTCCTTTCAATTCCTGCTACTTCTCTTTTAATATATTTTATCTTTTTGAGATACTAATCACATATATGTACACAAATGCTCACAAAAAGGTGCATGCTCCATAAATTTATGTTTACTAAGATTCACACAAATGTGTATGTAATAACTCTGATGTGGGTAACCACATGCTTGTTCTCAAGCTTATTCTCAGCTTTATCTTTAACATGTTGATGAAAATAACTAATAAAATCAAGTAATGAGCAAATTGATGATTAAAGACTTCTGAATTCACAATTGCTGAAGAGCTGTCTGCCTAATGTTATCTAGACCCTCAGAGAAACTGATGAAAAGGAGGATCTATTTATTAATTCATTCAACAAATGTTAATTGAGTACCTGCCAGGTGTTATGCTGGGCAGGAGGAAAACTATTAGGGTGAACTATATGAAATTGCTCATATTCAAGGATTTTTTATTTACAATGATGGCAGTTTCATATGGCTCAACCTAAGAAAATTATGAGAATTCCTTAGAGAGGGAAACAAAATAAGAAAGAGTTGAATATTATGAGAAAAACAAAATTTTCTAAAATAACAACATGGAAGAAATAAGATGAAATAAAAGAATTGAGAAATGGGAGAAAGGGAACACATGAACTAAAATAGAAGAGAACAATAAAAACAATAAAAACTAATAAATTCTTTTTCTAAGAATTCTTTTATTGAATTACAAATGACATGCAACATTATATTATTTCAGGTGTACAATATAATGATTCAATGTTTGTATATATTGCAAAATGATCACCACAATAAGTCTAGTCAACATCCATCACCATACATAGTTTCCAAAAAAATTTTTTTCTTGTGATGAGAATTTTTAAGATCTACTCTCTTAGCAACTTTCAAATATGCAATACAGTATCATTAACTTCACCATGCTGTACATTACCTGTCCGGGACTTATTTGTTTAATAACTGGAAGTTTGTACCTTTTGACCCCCTTCACCCTTTGCTCCCACCTCCACCCCCCAACAATCTGTACTCTGTATATATGAGCTTGGTTTTTCATTCATTCGAAAAACTAATAAATTCTTAATAATTAATTTAACTAATCCAGTATATATTGAGTGTCCAACACTATATAGATAATCTCATGGTAGGCATAATACGTGCCTCAAAACAAAGAGAATACATTGTTTTCCTTAAAAAGGAAACACCAATCAATGTGCCCCATATTTTTAAATTCTAAATTCTGGGGATAAAAGAGAAAATGAGAAAAAATATTGAGGCAGTAGGAGAGCTAAAACAGGGAAGATGGTAATAGAAATACAAAAATATGTATATAAATTCAATACAAATCCAAGGAAAAGATAGCAAAACTGGAAAGAAATAAAATAGAAGTCCTGATAATAGAAAAATGATTCTGCAGCAATGTCACATGATAACACAAGAATAAAAAGTGTAAATCAAGTTATCAGGGTAGAGAAGTCAATGAAAGTAAATCTAAAAATGTTTTAATACCTCTTCTGCCACATAGAAAATTATACCTGTTTCCCATTTTGTATAAATATGGGTGAACAAATTATAACATACATAAGTTGAATATACAGACTAATTCTAAAATTTATATTTTGGTATGATTGACTTACTTCTTTTCCCTAAAGATTGGCGCCTGAGCTAACATCTGCTACCAATCTTCTTTTTTCTCCTTCTCCTTCTCCTTCTCTGCAAAGCCGTTACATAGTTGTATATTCCAGTTGTGAGTGTCTCTGGTTGTGCTATGTGGGACACCGTCTCAGCGTAGCCTGATGAGCGGTGCCATGTCCATGCCCAGCATCCAAACCAGCAAAACCCTGGGCCGCTGAAGTGGAGCACACAAACTTAACCACTGGGCCATGGGGCTGGCCCCTGATTGACTTACGTCTAAATGACATAAATTTGGGGCCAGCCCGGTGGCGCAGCGGTTAAGTTTGTGTGTTCCACTTCTCGGCGGCCCAGGGTTCCCCAGTTTGGATCCGGGGTGCAGACATGGCACTGTTTGGCAAAAGCCGTGCTGTGGTAGGTGTCCCATGTATAAAGTAGAGGAAGATGGGCATAGATGTTAGCTCAGGGCCAGTCTTCCTCAGCAAAAAGAGGAGGATTGGCAGTAGTTAGCTCAGGGCTAATCTTCCTCAAAAATAAATAAATAAATGACATAAATTATATAAAAGCAAATAATCCAAGATTATCCAGAATAGGGAAGAATAATTTAAAAATTAGTTAAATAGAGCCCTCTTCACCTTTCTATTATTAAGGATAGTCCAAGAACCATAGAATCTTAGCACTGGAAGGGATCTTAGAGTTCCTTCAGACCAAACCTTCAGTGTCTCAGAAGAGGCAGAGAGGTCAGAGAAGTGTCTCGTTCAAAGTCATCTAGCTAGAGAGAAGCAGACTTAGGACTGGAACTTATCCATTCTTTCACTCACTCAGCAGTCAGGAAACCCTGCTACGTGCCGGGTGAGATACAAAGAGTGGTGAATTTTGTCCCTGGCTCTGAAGGAACAATTGGAGAGGCAATGTTGAGGGTGGGTGAGGAGAGCCATAAACTTTACCAAAGCCATTGGTGTACATCAATAAAAGAAACAATGCTTAAAAACCCAGATTTTTATCTGTCAAAACTCAGTTACTGAGAACTCTCATTTGACAGCTCCAAGCCAGGGTGGTACATAAAATAACAAAGGAGAATCCTTCATCAAAGAAGGATAAATGGGATCTTGCATAGATTTCCTACCAGTTTGTCCAGATACTGTGTGTCTTTAATCAGTACCAGCAATATCAACACTGCATTATTACCCTTCTTTGATAAAGAATAAATGAATGACTCTTAAACAGTGTCAATTGTATAGCTAAAAATGCATGATTTGTTTAAACTCTCTTTTCACACATTGTACATGGAAAGTATGATTTTGCGATTGATGCCCAATAAGCTTGTATATGAAAAAATCTGTGTTTACTTAGAACATCAAGATTACCTGAACATGGGTTTACAAAAAAAGAGGCAAAAAAAAAAAATTGTGTGGCAATCAGAGTAAGATTGTAATGATAAAATCAGTCTGATGAGTGACAGAATTAATTATAGTTGTAAAAATGCCAAACTCTTAACAAAGAGTGAGAGTTTTGTGACCAACTGTGACACAAGTCCCTGTCACAGGCCCCTGAGGGCAGCTCAGAACCATACTGATTCAACTTCCTATGTGCCCTATAAGGTCTACATGGATTACTATTTTTTTTAAGCGTGACATGTAGTTCTTATGAAACCAGATGACCTCTCACATTGTTCTTGATTTTATTTAATTTTGTTACTAACAATCATTGTTCTTAAGTGATAGAATTAAATATGAGGCTCTAGTCAAAAATTCCTTTAGAGGGCTTTAAGCAAATGTTTAAAATAAAATCTTTAATCCTTTGCCTTTTTGTTCAATCTGGAAATACCCGCATACAGATACATAATCAACCGTGAACAGTAGGAGTGTTTCATTGTCCACCAAAGGATTTTACTGGAATAAATTAAAACAGCAAACAATTGATGTTGAAATGTCAAGGCTAAAATGTCGCAGAAACAAGTTCAGTAAAGTTGTATCTCCTGTTCCAAGTAGTCTAATGACACAGTCATCAGTGTGTCTTCAAGGATGTGGACATGACCTGACATTGCAGAGCTTCAAGACTGCAACCTTAACATTTCCTGTCACAGTGCTTGAGTCAATCCTCATGCCTATACAGTAAACTGAGTTTCCATTTCATTCTTGAGTTCACACAGGTAAGTGGGTGGGTATGTGCTCAAATTCAGAGATGCATTATCACATTAATCCAAGTCTATTAATCTCATCGCTCTGATTTTTAAAATTTCTTTTGAAATTTAATAATTCTTTACCTACTGCCCTCCATTGCTTGGTAATAACTCAAAAAGGCAGTCGACAGAGCCCAGAGCTGGGCTACTACTTGGCCAATGACTACTTAAAACCCTTGATGTCTTAATGCTTCAGTATCCCTCTTTGGCAAATAAGAATCACAATATCCAGCCCAACTCCACAGATGGCTGGAATAAAAGCATTTAAAATGCTTTGGAAGAAAGGTATAAGAATATTGTGACTTTAAAAAGCCAATGGTAAAAATAAGATAGTGAATGCAGCAAGTAAATAGAAGAAATCGGCAGTTTTGGATGATGCTGTTACTGGTCATTCTCTTTTCTGTCTTTGCTATGTAATCTCAATACATCTTGCAGTTCCACAGAAGTTGAAGTTTGTGTGCATATTGCCAAATGCTACAGTATTCTTTAGGATCTAATATCGCAGAGGAACATATGGGGATGTAATTCACCATTGAAAAACACCATTTCTGCATTTGACTCCCCTCTCACACTATAAATTCTGATATTTGATGTGAGCACAAAGCCTCATTTGTTTTGGTCCAAATACCCAGATATGTGGGTGGGTGTATTCTACCAAGGAATGTCATCAAAGTTCACATCTGAGGCTGGCCCCGTGGCCGAGTGGTTAAGTTTGGGTGCTCCACGTTGGCGGCCCAGGGTTTCGCTGGTTCAGTTCCTGGTCGTGGACATGGCACCGCTCATCAGGCCATGCTGAGGCAGCGTCCCACATGCTCACAACTACAGGGACCCACAAATAAAATATGCAACTATGTACTGGGGGGATTTCGGGAGAAAAAGCAGAAAAAAAAAAGAAGATTGGCAACAGTTGTTAGCTCAGGTGCCAATCTTAAAAAAAAAGTTCATATCTACTTACTCCACAGCATGAGGCATCTGACCATTTGCCTCTCCCAATATAGTGTGAAACACTTTTCTAACTGAGAATAAATTGCTTCCACCCAAAAAACTGTACTGAGCATGAACAAGATAAAAGGCTCTGCTGTGTACTACGGAGGATACAAAGATGAATGTCAGCCTCGAGAAGAACTTACAGGCCTGCGGTCTTAGATACAGATCTTAGATTAAGTTCTCCTCCAAAACAAAGACTGTGGGATTATCTCTCTACCCTCAGGGTTTAGTGATGTCACTTGACTAAATTAATGAATAAGTAGAAGAAAGGGTGCTCTAATGAAGAATGTAAACCACAAGGAATCATTTCTGGTTTCTTCACAGTCTGATCCCAATTGCTTAAGAACAATAAGGATTGAAGAGGAAGAGAAGGGTCTACCATAGAAACAGGTTAGAGAAGAAGGTGGACAAATGGAAATCAAGGAGGAAGAGATTGGGAGAAGGAAAAAGAAAAAGCACTGTCTAGAATGAATCAGTGGAAACAAAATTTCTGCAGAAACTGAATTCTGAAGACTTCAGTTGATTCTAAATAATTAGAATAAAATAGGCAATAGCCTTTAAGGGGAGAAAAAAGGAATTTGGTGGACATTGAATTACTCAAAAATTAGAAAGGGGAAAAATTGTTTCCTCTGGCTTCCAGCAAGTGCCAAGCCACTTTAGCCAAAGCATGGAACCTTGAATAATGTTGCAGAGAATTACTAAGTATACTATTGGACAAGGACGGATGTGAACATCACGTGGCACAGGTGCTCTGTCCACCTGCTGCCTTCATTACTCAAGGCTGCAACTCTTTACACTCTATAATATTATCAAGAGCCTCAGAGAATTTTTACTTAATGTGAATTATATCTAATGGTATTTATCATATTACATTTTAACACTGAGAAATTTTCAAAATATTTCAAATCAAGACAACAAAGCATACTTACTTTTTGTTGTTGAAACACATACATGCAAAGAAAAGTTCAAGATTTCAAGATAATTATTTATTTGAAAATAATGAGATTACAGGTATCCTGGCAGGTATGACCAAAGATAACTAATAGAAGCACAGAAGTACTGAGAACAAATTTCATTAATCTCTCTAAAAATGTACATATTGATAGTACCACAGAACACACAAGAACAGACAAGCAGGCATTCTATTAGCGGAGCGATGACATCATTACACGTCAAATGGCCTCTGGAAATTTCCACAGTTCACTCACGAGAGAACGAAAGTGAAAAAGACAGATCAGGTCTTACTACCGAAACGGAAATGGTTTTGACCTCGGAGATCTTGGAGACGTCCCAGACTTGGTGGACCACAACTTGAGAACCAACTAACTGATTAATTTTAAGGTCACTTCCCATTTCAAGTTACTAATAAGTGTACTTTCTCTGATTATTTTGTTCTCGTCCCGGGACCTCGAGGACCGCCAGACCCAGGAGACGCCGGGACTTCGGGGTGCTGCGCTCGCGGACCTGGACACGCCCCAGGCTCGGAGACGCCGGGTCCGGACGCGAGTCCGAATCCGCCAGCGCGCCGAGGAGCGGCCAGGACGGGCGGAGCCGCGGCGGGGAGAGGACGGGCCCGACGCCCCAGGTCTGCGCCGGCGGCAGAGCGCGGCCAGGTGCCCCAGCCGTCCCCCGGCGCCCCCCGGCCCCCCCCGGCCCCCCCCGGAGCCCCCAGCCGACAGACCGCGGGCGTCCCCGCAAAGCGCGCGGCGCCTGCGCACAGCGAGCCTGGGAGCCGCGCCGGGCGTGGGGTCCGGGACGGGGTGATGGGACGGAGGCCCCGTTGGTAGGGGATCGGGGGCCCTGGGACGCGGGATCCGGGGCCGGGACGGGGGACCCGGGGTCGGGACGGGGGACCCGGGGCCGAGACGGGCGATCCGGGGCGGGGACGGGGGATCCTGGGCCGGGGAAGGGGGACCCGGGGAGGGGACGAGGGACCCGGGGCCGGGCCGGGCGATCCGGGGCCGAGACAGGGAATCCGGAGCGGGGACGGGAGATCCGGGGTCGGGTCGGGGGATCTGGGACCCCCGGACGTGCGCCGGAGCTGCAGGTGCGGCGCGTGACGAGAGGCTCGCTCAGCCGGGCCCCCGCGCGACCGGTTCCGACCCGAAGGCGAAGCCGGGGTCGCCGCGCCAGGTGCGCCGGGCCGTGGGCAGTCGGTCACCGGGCGCGCGGGCCGCTCTCCGCGCGGGGGCTTGGCGACGACTGCCGGTGAGCAGCTCCCACGGGATCTCAAGGTGCTGAGTCGGGAGGTTTTTTGAGGCGCCTTGTTATCTTGTTTGTTTTAGTTTGACGTCTCCAGACGATGTTTGCGCTTGTGGTTCTGCTCAGCCAGCTGCCCCCGGTGGTCGCCGCGTTTCCTCGGCATGCAGGAGAGGACGGTGAGCGGGGCCGGTCCGGGAAACCCCCATCAGTCACAGAAACGCTAAAATATCCTTTAGTTAAACTTGTGGTTTATTTGGTAATGTGGTTTATTATGTTACCTACAATTTATACAAATTTATTTCTGTGAGTTACTTTTGATAAATATATGTTTAAGACCTGATTTGTGGTTAACCGAGTGAGAAACCTGTTGCAACTTCTGAAAATCAGTGAGTGCGGATTTTCCGGATGAGGCTATGTGGTAGTTATAATGAGCATAATTACTCGTTCTTCCTAGAGAGATGGGCAGGGAGCCCAGGCTCTAGTCTGGACTTGTTACCAGACCCTGGGGAGGTACTTACCCCCTTTCAGCTTGAATTTCTTCATCTTTGAAATGATGGGGGTGGGGAGTGGAATGATCTCTGAGATCTTTTTTGACTTTAAAATGTCTGGCTATGTAGATAAAGTCAGATGGTTGTGAGCAGATTAGGTTTACAGCTTCCTAAGCTAGAGTCTCACACCTTGTGGGTTCCAGGGCGTAAACAGACTGCCACATATTAAAAGCCTAACTTAGAAGAACCTCAAAAGAAAAGAAAAAATTAGCTTTGGCTCTCAGCATTCTTCTCCCTGCCTAGTCACTGTGTTTCCCCACCCAGCCGTGTCAGTACTGGGCATCTGCTTTCCCACATTCCTGTCCCTTACTCCTCATCAGATCCCACTCTCAGCTCATTTTCACTGGGAAAGATCTGTTAGACTAATACTCCTGGATGACTTATTAATGATTAATACAGCCTAGTGTGTTAAACCTTCTAGGAGAGTGTGTGTATATTTTAAGATAGGGCAATATATTAACCCAAAGGAATCAAACCCTGATAGCAGAATTCCAGGCAATTGCATAGACTAGCTCGTGGGATAAGGAGAGATTTTGGAAGGAGATCCTTTTTGGTACCTCTCAAGCTGCACCGTGTATGTAAGTCCACTCATATATAAGGTTGATGGTCCATACTCAGTGGGACTAGATGCTGATCCCCAGAAAGCTTGTGAGCACATTCATTCATTCACCTGATACAGGCTTCCCTCTCAAGGATATCACAGACGAAGGAAGGAATTTAGAAGTCAGACTTGAGTGCAGAAGGCTGGAGATATCTTTGGAAAATGTAAATGAGGGAATCCCATATATTTAAAAGCCAATTTGTTCAGTAACCACTTGATTAACACATACTATGTGCCAGGCCCTGTGCTAGGGACTGGAGACGTAGAAGTGAAAGCCTGTAATCCCTGCCCTGAGGACCTCTTCATCTGGTGGGGGAGGCAGGGTGTAGACATAATCTCAATAAACTCTATGACAGAGGTAGGAGCTAAGCTTGAGAGCAGGGGAGAGAGTGAGTTGTAGTAACTGTCTCAGGAGAGTTGTATGGCACAGAAGCTGATGTTCTCTATCTGCAAATGAGATACAGTAAATGGAGATACAAAAAGTAACTAGCGGTGCTGGCCCTGTGGCCTAGTGGTTAAGTTTGGTGCACTCTGCTTCAGTGGTCTGGGTTTGATTCCCAGGTGCGAACCTACAACACTCGTCAGTGGCCATGCTGTGGTGGCAATCCACATACAAAATAGAGGAAGACTGGCATAGGTGTCAGCTCAGGGCAAATCTTCCTCAGCAAAAACAAAACAAAACAAAACAAAACAAAAACTAGGACAATAAGGGACCTTCAGCTAAATTCTGATAAAGCCCAGGGGTGGAGTTGAAATGACCTAAAAGCAATTTATTTTAAAAACATGGAGAAACAGGAGAGAGGAAGAGAATGGAAGATCTGGGTTGGTGGGTTTGAAATAGCAAAATGCACAGACCACCTCAGGAGGAATACAGATGGGAACAGAACCTGAGGAGGCAGATGCATAAGTGGAAACGCCAGCACGTCCTCCAGTGGTGGCCAGAGGGAACAGGGGGATTCAGGGTGTTCCAGGGCCAAGGAAGTTGGCTTCTTTCAATTATAAGCAAATTCACAGTTACTTAGGACCCAGATAACAAGGAGCGTATTTCTCCTGAGATCATAAGGGAGGCAGGGGAAAGTGTAATAAGCACTAACGTTTAAGTCTAAGGTCAACCACTGACCGAATTGGAGCTTTCAGGGGAAGTGGCAAACAGCAGCCCCTGGGAGGCACGCTTAATACAGGGGTGAGGACTTTTATTGGCATAAATGTCATTTCAGGCATACACAAATGCTTAGGATTCTCTCTTTTTTGTTTTCCTTCCAAGTTGAAAGTAGCTTTATTGAGTCCCATTTGGAGGGCAGAGGGTATTTTTATAACTCAGACAACCTACTTGAACAGAAGACTGACAATGAGAAATTTGGCACTGCTTTTTTAGCCAATAAAATATAAAGATCTGGGCATATCTGAAAGTAGCAATACAGAGGCAGATGTCTAATTCTCCATTCTGAAATTAGTAAGTATGGATAAGTTAGGCAGGCCATGAGTTGCTTCATCACTAGTTTAGTATTTTAAACCTATGCCAAACTGAGTAATGCCAGACTATACCTATGAATTGCTTCAACTGGTAGAATTTAGGTCCAAGAGTTCCTTCCTACTCCAGGAAAGTTGAGTTCATTCATTCATTTAGTAAGTCATTTTTTGAGCATTAAGTCTTGTGTGCCAGGCACCAACATCCCTGGTTTAATGGAACTTTCCTTCTGGTGAGGGGAACAGAGTCACAGCAAATAAGTAAATAAAACATAAAACACCAGGTGGTGACAAGTATGATGGGGAAAACAAAATATAGAAGGTATGGGGTAACATTGAGCAAAATCCTAAAGGAGCTGAGAGCAACCAAAAGAAGAAAGTTCTATTTAGAGGAAACAGTAAAGGCAGGAGAGAACCAGGCGCGTTGGAAGCTACAAGGGGATGTTAAACACAGACGGGAGGGAGCAAGGAGACCCTCAGAGGGCCACTGCAAGAGTCCCATGAGAGATGATGGAGACTCGGAGAAATGTTCTTTCTGTCGCCACTTAGTGGTAGCCTACAATCTACAAGAAGACAGGAAGAAGAAAGAACAGAAATATTCCATCTCAGTGGTCTGACTTTTAGAATATTTCTTAAAACAACCATCACCAGATATCCACTCTAGTTTCTCCCGTGGTTCAAATAGCCCATCTCTGTTATTTATAACATAGAAATGAATACTCTAGAAGAGCTCTGGCTCAATAGAAACATCATGGGAACAACATAAATAATTTAAAATTTTTAAATAGCTACTTTACAAGAAGTAAAAAGAAATAGGTGAAATTAATTTTAATAATGTATTTAATTTAACCCAATATATACAAAATAACATTTCCAAATTTAAGCAATATAAAACGTTGAGATATTTCACATTCTTTTTTTTTTTTTTTGTAAGTCTTTGAATTCCTGTGTATATTTTTTACACTTACAGCACATGTCAATTCAGACCAGCTGCATTTCAAGTGCCCAATAGCCGTATGCGGCTAGTGGCTACTGTCTTGGACAAAACAGCTCTATAAGATTCTGACCTGTTTGTAAAGGTGATTGATTAGTAGAAAAAATACCTTGGACAAGCCGGGACTGCTGTAAAGGAACCAGCCCGAGGTCGCTCACAGGTAGCATTAGTTAGTCTTCCAGGCCGTGCTCTATTGTCAGCCCTGAGCTGCCTTTCCATCGCCCTCTTTAATATAGGAATTATATTAAATAATCCTTAATTATATGTCCTTAATAATAATTAAATTAAATAATCGCTCTCTTTAGGAATGGTTAGCAGTGAGAAATATCAACACTTTTTAATGCTTTTAAGCATTTTAATGTAGTTCTCAGAGAGTTTCTGAATTCCAGTCTTGGTAATGTGATCTGGAGCAAGATCACTTAAGCTTTGTTTGTGTGACTCCAGAAGGAGTTTCAAGTTTGTGGGTTTTGGAAATACTGCCATGGTGGGATATTTTGGTTTTGTATCAGTCTGTGCTTTACTCTGTCGTCTTCACCATTTACTTTCCCAGCAGATGCAGAGGGCATCTTATAAAGAACTGTGGACACACATTTGGGGTATGGGTGGATGGAGCCACTCCTTTGGGAGGGGCTGGATGTCTTTTTTGAAGAAGAAGAAGATTAGCCCTGAGCTAACATCTGCTGCCAATCCTCCTCTTTTTGCTGAGGAAGACTGGCCCTGAGCTAACATCCGTGCCCATCTTCCTCTACTTTATATGTGGGATGCCTACCACAGCATGGCGTGCCAAATGGTGCCATGTCTGCACCCAGGATCCGAACCGGCGAACCCTGAGCCGCCGAAGTGGAACATGCAAACTTAACTGCTGCGCCACCATGCCAGCCCCTGTGTGTCTTTTAATTAATCTTATAATTGACTTAGAATTTTATTAACTTAGAAGTTTAAAATTTTGTCTTAGTATAAATTTGATATAATAATTTTAATATGAATGCATTAATTTATAATTTTAAAACATAAAGTGATCTTAGTGATTATTTATTTAGTTCATTTCCCAGTTTTACAAATGAAGAAATGTCACCCCAGAGATATAAGTGACTTATCCCGATTCACAGCTAATAGCTGAGCCAGAATAAAACCAAGATTCTGTCTTCTCATAGTTCAACATTGTCCATTGCAGCAGACTAATTTCTCTCAGTTAGGATCATAGAGAACCAACCCTTTAGAATTAGAATAGTCTGGCCTGTCATTTGCCAGAAAAATAATAGTCTGGTGGGAAAAATATTTAAATAATTTCGTTTATGCTAATAATTTTGGACATAATAATAAACTCAAGTATTTTCGGAATTACGCTAATACTTGTATTACATATTTAGCTGAAATTATTTTTACTGATGCTATTTCTTTTTGTCAGATTTTAAAACCATACAAGGAAGTTAGATATAATTTAACCACATCAGAGAACTATTCACTTTTTGCATAGTTAAAACAGGAATTTTCTGTCTTATTTTTTATCAATCTTTGAAATCTTTCTATTTCTTTAGTAGTCTTTAGATCAAAAGAAGAAGCAAACTTTTTCATACGTAGACACCTCCTGTATAATAGGTTTGATTTGGAGCTCTTCACTCCCGGGGACCTGGAAAGAGAGTGCCAAGAAGAACTGTGTAATTATGAGGAAGCCAGAGAGATTTTTGTGGATGAAGATAAAACGGTAATTTGTATGATAAGTCAATTGGCTGGAAATTTATTAAATTGTCCTTAAGAAATTGACACATTTATGCTTTAAATGAAATCAGGATTGTATACCTGTTATCTCTTTCTACTTCCTTAAAATGCTAACTAACCTATTTAGATCTGGCTTTGTACTTGATTAACTGGGCTTATAGTAATTAGCAAATTATTGACTATGTTGTGATTTTGTGTGTTTAATATTTATTCAAAAACAATCATGAAGCAGAGTGAATTAAACTTGAGGATATTATTTGAGTTAGCTCTCTGACTCAGGCGTCTATCATTCAAGACTCAGAGGAATTTCTCCTATCAGTGACCTGACCTTTTTGATTTTCATGTTTATATTTCAAGTATTTATGGACAATCTGCTGTGTGCCAAGTGCTCTGCTAGAGACTGAGGACACAAAATATGTAGTCCTTGCATTCAGGAGTTTATTGTTTGGTATATCTGTGTAACGTTAGGGGAAAACTTTTAGATGTTCCCCCTTAAAATATAATTAAATCCTATCTGTTCATCTGGAAAAGATAAAAGGCAGACAGTACTGTCCCTGTTATAATCTGACATATTCTTGAAGAATATTAAGTGACCTGGATTCTTTACTTTTGTAGATTAAATACCCTCAGCTCCTTTTTCCTACCTCACGAGTCCCATTTTACTCTTTTGTCGATAAGAACCTCTCTAGGTGTCCTTCAAATGCACGTGTTAATGGAACTTAGTTCTTTTTTCTTTGAAACTGTGCCCAGCCTCCCATTCCTTGCTAATGTCAGCCCTCATGTTGGAGAAGAAAACAGAATCTGTACTTTTTAGTCATGCTGTTGAGATTTTATTCTGTCGTTCACAAACCCATTTTCTTTTTCTTTTTTCAATTATTTTCTTGAGGTCATAATGGTTTATAACATTGTATAATTTCAGGTGTACATTATTGTTTATCAGTTTCTGTATAGACTGCACAATGCTCTCTACCAGTATCTCATTTTTATCTGTCACCATACATATGTGCCCCTTTACCCCTTTTGCCCACCCCCCAACTCTCTTCCCCTCCGGTAACCACTAATCTGTTTTCCTTATGTGTTTCTCTTCCTCATATGAGTAAAATCATGTGGTCTTTGTCTTTATCTGTCGGGTTTATTTTGCTTAACATAATACCCTCAAAGTCCATCCATGTTGTTGCAAATGGGACGATTTTGTCTTTTTTTATGGCTGAGTAGAATTCCGTTGTATATATATACCACATCTTCTTTATCCATTCATCAGTTGATGGGCACTTGTGTTGCTTCCATGTCTTGGCTATTGTGAATAATGCTACAATGAACATGGGGGTGCATAAGTCTCTTTGAATTGTTGATTTCAAGTTCTTTGGCTCAATACCAGTAGTAGGATAGCTAGGTCATATGGAATTTCTATTTTTAATTTTTTGAGAAATCTCCATACTGTTTCCATAGTGGATGCACCAGTTTGCATTCCCTCCAGCAGTGTATAAGGGTTTCCTTTTCTCTACATCCTCTCCAACATGTGTTATTTTTTGTCTTGGTAATTATAGCCATTCTGACAGGTGTAAGGTGATATCTTAATGTAGTTTTGATTTTTATTTCCCTAATAATTAGTGATGTTGAACATCTTTTCATGTGCCTGTTGGCCATCCGTATATCTTCTTTGGAAAAATGTCTATTTGTATCCTCTACCCATTTTTTGATCAGGTTGTTTGTTTTTTTGTTGTTCAGTCGTGTGAGTTCTTTATATATTTGGGGAATTAACCTCTTGTCAGATATATGATTTGCAAATATTTTCTTCCAGTTGGTGGGTTGTCTTTTTGTTTTGTTCCTGGTTTCCTTTGCTTTGCAGAAGCTCTTTAGTCTGATGTAGTCCCATTTGCTTTAGACGTGGTATTCGAAAAGATGCTTCTAAGACCAATGTCAAAGAGCATACTGCCTTTATTTTCTTCTAGTTTTATGGTTTCAGGTCTTACATTCTAGTCTTTAATCCATTTTGAGTTAATTTTTGTGTATGATGTAAGATAATGGTCTACTTTCATTCTTTTGCATGTGGCTGTCCAGTTTTCCCAACACCATTTACTGAAGAGACTTTCCTTTTTCCATTGTGTGTTCTTGGCTCCTTTGTCGAAGATTAGCTGTCCAGAAATATGTGGTTTCACAAACCCATTTTCTGATTTTATCAAGATCCACTTTAAAATCCGTTTCCCTTCTCTCAAGCAACACTGAATGTAATGAGTCTCAGGGATGTCTTTCCAAATTGATAAATATCTCTTAGTAGAATCTGCTAGCAAACTGAGGCCCACCCAGTGCAGGAAAATTCAAACCCCCTTTCAAGCATGATAAGTCCACGGCCTCAACTTGTGCCTTTGGCCCTTTCCCTGACTCTAGTGTGACTTTCCCCGATGCCTGAGTTGGGGCTCTGGACAGGTGAAGCGAGAATAGTGGGGTACAGCAGAGAGCTGGCACTTGCAGTAATCCCCTGACCAGTTCCAGAGTTGGGAGAAACAGAGGTGGGTGGCAGTGCTTTAGTTAGAGGGAGTCACACCCTCCAGCTTGAGCGAACTGGTATCCTACCTGGGGCACATGCCAAGAATTTGCCACCCCTAGGCCAGGTCACTGGGACCAAATGAAATGATAATAAAGAAATTAAATAAACTTGGAAATTTTACCTTTTTCTTAGATGACATTTTGGCAGGAATATTCAATTAAAGGACTAAACACAAAATCAGGTAAGGCAAGAATTGACCAAATTTAATGTTTTTTCCCATCCTCTCTTTATTATAATACATTGTAGTTTCATTGTTTGAGTTTGGTTGTTGCTCAAGATACATACCTTGTAAATCTGAGGAAGATTTCTCAATTACACACTAGGCTACCTAAGACAGAGAAGGCCATGTTCATCTATTTACACACTGAAAATCAAGTTTGGTGAGATACTAGGGAAATGAGATAATAGGCTTAAAGCTGTTTAAAACAGCTCAGCTAAGTCAAGACTTGCACAGAATAAAAGTAGGACTCCATTCATTTCAAGGAGTAAACTATTTTAATTTTTTTTCTTTTTTACCACTACAGGTGAATGGAATGCTTATGCTACTAGGTAATTAAGATTGTTAGATAGAATTAAGCAGCTTTTAAAGAGCAGAGATCCTTTATTTTATCTGTATTGATCATCTCCAGCTGTTCTAGTCACGTGCTGTTCCATTCCTGCAGGTAGGGCCCCAGCTGTCGGGAGACGGTTTACAAAGCTACGCTAGACCTGCTCGATACACTTGTCTTCATAGTTAATGCCGAGTTTGTCTGGTTGAACAAAGAATATGCTTATCCCACTTAGTCTTGAATATTATCCATTTAATATGACCTATTTGAAATAAATGAAACCTTAACTAGGGCTTTTAGGAAGTGTCATTTAAAAATTTTTCAGGTCGGGGACCGTCCCGGTGGCGCAGCAGTTAAGTGTGCATGCTCCACTTTGGCCGCCTGGGGTTTGCCTGTTTGGATCCCGGGTGCGGACATGGCACCGCTTGGCAAGCCATGCTGTGGTGGGCATCCCATGTATAAAGTAGAGGAAGATGGGCACGGATGTTAGTTAGCTCAGGGCCAATTTTCTCAGCAAGAGGAGGAGGATTGGCGGCAGATGTTAGTTCAGGGCTAATCTTCCTCAAAAAGAAAAAAAATTTTCAGGTCATGTCTCTAGCACAAAGACTTTTAAAATAAGTCAGTATTAATTATCAGATGCTCATAGTGTTCTTAGACCCAGTGTTAAATTTATTGAAATCATAGGTGGTACTTTTCAGTGATTATATTTGTGTCATTTTAATTATTTTTCTCTTAAGATGGTAACAGAGAGAAAATTGATGTTATGGGCCTTCTGACTGGATTAATTGCTGCTGGAGTATTTTTGGTTATTTTTGGATTACTTGGTTACTATCTTTGTATCACTAAGTGTAACAGGCAACGACATCCAGGGTAAGTACCAGTAAAAATACTTAATTCACTATTATACATTCTATACTGTTATTTTAAAATGGATAAAAAAATGGCTGCCTATTTTTAAGAAAATGTTTTGTTTTGGAATACTCTTAGATATACAGAAAGTTTGCATAGATAGCACAGAGAGTTCCCGTGTATCCTTCACTACATTTCCCTCATTGATAACATCTTATGTTACCATAGCACATTTGTAAAACCAACAAACCGATGTTGGTACATTACTATTAACCAAACTCCAGACTTTCTTAGATCTCACCCATTTTTCCATTAGTGCCCTCTTTCTGCTCCAGGATCCAATGAAGATACCACATGGCATTTAGTTGTCCTGTCTCCCCCATTGCCTCTGTCTCTGACAGGTGTTTGGTTGACCAATTTAACAATTACATAAACAGCTTAATGATGCTATTTCTAAGGTCCTTCGAAAGAAAACAAGAAGATTCACAAATGTCAGCTTGATTTTTCAATATTTTCTTCTTAAGCACGAGGCAGATGCTAATGTCCCCACGTTACTTCCAGAGGCAAGAAGTCCCATGTTTACTCTGAGTCACAGTATTAATGGATCTAGCCCTGTGGCTACCCAAATAGAAACAGTGTGACTAGGCTTCAAATTCAGCTATTTTTATTCATCCTTTAAGTTAAATAAAAATTAATAAAATAAAATGGTTACCACTCGAGGATATAGCAAAGATAAAGGTTCATAAAGGCCTTAATTGTTTGCATAATAGAACCTCAACATCCTCATTAAAATAAAAAGTTATCTTCCATATTATTTATATTATCTTCTCAGTAAATATGGATGAGTAAGTGTAGAAGTAACCTTATTCTAAAACAGCACCAGCTGCTAAACAGGCTATTCGAAATTGATGCTTATGCATCCCTATTCACACTTTAAAATTCTGTGAATAAGCTCATGATGGTGACCAGGTGATGAAAAGGTTATGGAAATAGATAGTGGTGATGGTTGCATAAGATTCTGAATGTAATTAATACCACTGAATTGTACACTTAAAAATGGTTAAAATGGCAAATTTTGTTATATATATTTTACCACAATAAAAACTTTTTCTTTATTGTTAAGGTATGAGTTTAGGGCAACAGAGGTGGAATTAGGATCCATCTATTGGAAGATAACAGCTGAAGCATGAGGGTAGTAAGTTCTCTGGGTGTGAGGAGGGCAGAAGGCAAAGGCCGGAGCCGCGGCGGAGCCCACAATAAGGGCACAGAGGGAAGGCGCACCTGCCAGGCGGGCAGAGGCCAGGGCGACAGTCAGGATTCCACCGCAGTCTGGAGTCCTGGTGGCCCCTGAAGCAGTAACAGGACCCATGGGGGTGCACCGAGGAGTCTCACAGAGACCTTTGTGAATCCTGTAAAAGTCTGAGAAGTGAGGGAAAGGAAGGGAGGATTTGTTTAATTTTTCTTAAGTCACTGTCTTTTAAGCTGAGAAACTTCTATTAATTTCCCTTATTTAGCAGACAGGAAGGTCTTTCCATTTTCTAGGGCTTTTGACTAAGATTTTATTCAGCGTGGCTTCCTCCACAAGCTGAAGGAGTCCTGGAGACTCACAAGTTAGTGAAGAACTAGGCAGAACCTGACTTTGGAGACTCTTCCTGCCTTTTATCTTTCCTTCTTTTCCACCCCATTCATAATGTTTGTCCAAAAAGTTCACCTATGCCTTTGTGTTCAGTAACTTCCCTCGCGGTCCGTGCTGGCACAGCCATATTGTGTCCTCAGGCTTGACGCTGCCTTCTCGCTTCTCCCGGTTTTTCTTCATTTTTCTACTTTTCTGCATCACTACATCTTCTTACCTTATACCCTTTTTTCTCTGAAACCTTCTAGCTTCATCCCTGCATGAGGGTAGAGGCAGAATTCAAAGACACGGAGAAAATGGTACCGTTATTATGCATGTTGTCTGTGTATGGTATTGTAAAATTTAAAACCCTGGATACCTCTCATTTTAAAAGTACGATTAGTTTATTGATGTTAGTAGAGTGAGATGCTGTACAAGTCACAGATCACTTTACCTCTCTTGTCTCACTTTGATCCTAACGGCAACCCGTTGAGTTTTAGGAGACATTTCAAACTAGGCTTACTGGACATTCTCTCATGTGGGGATTAATTTTTAAATACTTACTAAAGTACTTTTTAAAAAAATTTTATTTTTCCTTTTTCTCCCCAAAGCCCCCCGGTACATAGTTGTGTATTTTTAGTTGTGGGTCCTTCTAGTTGTGGCACGTGGGATGCCGCCTCATCATGGCTTGATAAATGGTGCCATGTCCACGCCTAGGATCCGAACCAGTAAAACCCTGGGCCGCCGAAGCAGAGCACGTGAACTCAACCACTTGGCCATGGGGCTGGCCCAACTAAAGTACTTTTCAACTATTGTCCCAAGAAATTCTCCCAGCAGAGTTATTTGTTCTCTTTCTATATTTTGCAAGTCTGGAAGGAGGGGGAGGAGGAGGGAGTGTTTGACAAAGGAAAGAGTGAAAAATAAGATCATTGTCAGAAAAGTTCATTTCATTCCTCTGTAAAAACATGCCAAGTTGGGGGCTGGCCCCGTGGCCGAGTCGTTAAGTTCGCGCGCTCCGCTGCAAGCGGCCCAGTGTTTCGTTGGTTCGAATCCTGGGCGCGGACATGGCACTGCTCATCAAACCCCGCTGAGGCAGCATCCCACATGCCACAACTAGAAGGACCCACAATGAAGGATATACAACTATGTACCAGGAGGCTTTGGGGAGAAAAAGGAAAAAAAATAAAATCTTTTTAAAAAAAAAAAACATGCCAAGTGGGGTCGGCTTGGTGGCATAGTGGTTAAGTTTGTGTGCTGTGCTTCGGTGGCCTGGGTTTGTGGGTTTGGATCCCAGGCACCGACCTACACTGCTTGTCAGGCCACGCTGTGGCAGTGTCTCACGTACAAAATAGAGGAAGATGAGCACAGATGTTAGCTCAGCAGAAATCTTCCTCAAGCAAAAAGAGGAAGATTGGCAACAGATCTGAGCTCAGGGCCAATCTTCCTCACAAAAAAACCAAAAAAAACCCAAAAACATGCCCAGAAATGAGAAACAAGACCTTTTCATTTCTTAGTTTCTATATTTTACGAAGGAAAATAGGCATAATGTCATGTCAGTTTATTTGCGATGTTATTAGGGCATACTTTCTGATTCAGTCATTTAAGATGTATGTAAGAAATCACTGTGTAGATATTTAATGACTTTGATGTCATTGTTATATTGTTTCTGTATCTCAAATTTTGAAAGTCAACATGGAAAAATTAATTTGTTCAAATAAAACATCTGTCTCTCCCCTTCCCTATAAGCAAACAGATAGAACTTTTTGTCCCAAGTTAACAAGTGTGGCGAGTGACTAGCCTGCCAAGAATATGTTCCAGATCTGATGGAGGAGTCGTATGGAGCCCACCAAGAAGACTTGGGGTGCCCTCAGTCACCTCTCGACTTTCGAAGGGCTGACTATCGAGCTCCTAGATTTACACAGCTCTTCTCTCTTTGCTTTTTCCTCTCTCCTTCCCTCCAATTTCAGATCTCATTCTTACCTCCAAAGGGTGTGTTCTAGGGGGCAAAGTGACTGATTTAGTTTGGAAAAGTTTACAGTATTTTGGGTCTGCTAAACTTTCTGTTATTGGGAAGAGTATTGTAAATGTTGACTAGAGTTTAGGGATTACCTTTAATTATTTTATTAGCCATAACTATTGGAGGTTAATTTTTGCATAGATACCTCATAGACAGCCACCCTCACAGGCTAAAAGATCGATTTACTAATATTTAAATTACAATTTGTAATTTGCAAGTGAGAAGGGAAAATGTTGGTCCAAACAGCAAGCCTGTGTTGCATTTCAGTTTCCATTGGCTGGTGTAACAGACAAAGTTTTGTGAAAATGGTGGGATTTGAACTAGGCCATATTAAAAAAACAATTGTTCACCTCAGATCAATGGAGTGGGGAAAAGACAATAATCTGAGAAAGGGAACAGCACCAGTGAAAGCAGAGATGGGACAGAGAATTCATTGCACACGTGGAGGAGTATGAAGAGGTACCTGGGCAAGAGCAGAGAACTATAGAAAAGAAGGCGAGGCCAAAATAAGGGGGGCTTGGAAGTGCAGGAGTTAGAACTTGATTCAGTGGAAAGCAGGCTGCAGGTTAGACTTGTGTGGAGAAGAGTGGAGTAGCTAGGAGGGAGAGGCCCGACAGCAGGGCTGCAGGGGGGCAGGGGAGAGCACCAGGCCTCTGCTGCTGGGATCGTCTCTGTGGCATCAGTTTCCTTGGCTTGAGTTGTGCTGCCTTTTAGCAAAGCCTGGATTTGGTTTCACATCGTACTTTGAGGAAGTTTTAATTCAGGAGCGGGAGGAAAAGGGCATCAGCTGTTCTGAGTCTTTGATATAGTGTTCCAGACACTGCTTAGGTGCTTTACATCCGACGTCTTTGTCAGTCCACACAAAACAACTCTGCTGAGGTGTGGATATTATGATCCCTATTTTACAGAGGAGTCTGAGGTAACTTGCCTTTGGTCATACAGCTATGAAATGATGGGATCTGGTTTCATACCCACATCTGACTTCAAACCTCTTGACCTTCCCACCTTACCAAGATTCTTTCAGAGTTAATGGGTAAAATAAAACTGTTGTGGGGCTGGCCCGGTGGTGTAGCAGTTAAGTTTGCACGTTCCGCTTCCGTGGCCCAGGGTTCGCTGGTTTGGATCCCGGGTGTGGACATGGCACCGCTTGGCAAGCCATGCTGTGGTAGGTGTCCCATATATAAAGTAGAGGAAGATGGGCATGGATGTTACCTCAGGGCCAGTCTTCCTCAGCAAAAAGAGGAAGATTGGCGGCAGATGTTAGCTCAGGGCTAATCTTCCTCAAAACAAAACAAAACAAAACTGTTGTTATATTAGTAAATTGAGTTCAACTTTTATCAAAATAGTCAGTTGCGTTTTTTAATATTACTATCTTAACCTAAAAATGCTGCCTTTTCTAGACTTAAATGCTGTCTCTCTGTTTAGTTCTTCAGCCACCTGTAGAAGAAGGGGCAGGCACACTCCCTCCATCGTTTTCAGAAGACCTGAGGAGGCTGTCTTGTGTCCATCACCACCTCCAGAGGAGGACGCAGGATTACCTTCTTATGAACAGGCAATGGCACTCACAAGAAAACACAACGTTTCGCCGCCACCACCATATCCTGGGCCAGCAAAAGGATTTGGGGTATTTAAGAAGTCTATGTCGCTCCCTTCTCACTGAGCCCACCTTGCCATCTTGGTGGGATAGGAGATCCATGTTATTTGAATGGTTCATTCTCCCTGAACCAATAAAGACATATCAGTTCAACCTGTTAGGACCAACTACTGGGACTGAAGGAGGAATAAGCCCCTGTACTACCCTGAAGTGCTATGTGCATCTCCAGCCTGAAACTTGATCGTGATCAGCTTGATAAGAAACTTTGACTCCACATCCTTGCAGTTATGAAGAGAGTACTTTTTTGTTTATTTTAATGTTTCAAAAAATCTGTGTTATGGGGCCCATCCTGGTGGCATAGTGGTTAAGTTTGTGTGCTCTGCTTTGGCAGCCTGGGGTTCATGGGTTTGGATCTTGGATGTGGACCTACACACTACTCATCAAGCCATGCTGTGGCAGTGTCCCACATAAAATAGAGGAAGATTGCCAGAGATGTTAGCTCAGGGCCAATCTTCCTCACTGAAAAAAAAAAAGTATTAAGTACTAATTAAAAAAAAATCTATGATATGGATGTCATAGCTAGAACTGGCGAACTATCTCTATGTATCCTTTGTACAGATAAAGGTTGTAGATTTCTTGTGTTGAACATAAAAAAAGTAAGAGTTTCTACTCATTAGATTATCCCAAGTCATAATATTGGACCCACTTTTTATTAGGATTTCTTTTTGGTTGGAAATACTTCACAGAATTTGATATTTCAATAGAAATGTGTCCTTAATAAAATTACCTCGTTTTATAATTTAATTATTGAATACATTCACCATATTTTGCAGGTTTTAGTTGTTAACTCTTGCCATAAGTCATGTTTAATTATGGGGAGTGGGGTCAGTAGTTTTCTTTTTTTAAAAAAACACTTGGTAGAGAGTTAGTTCTTCAGAGGGTACAGGGTTGCAATGCCAAGGATTTGCAAGGGTTGTTATACTGTCAAATAAAGAAGCCTCAAGGGCTGGCCCCAGGGCCTGATGGTTAAGTTCACATGCTCTGCTTCAGCAGCCTGGGTTCAGTTCCCAGGTGTGGACCTACACTGCTCATCAAGCCATGCTGTGGTGGCATCCCACATATAAAGTAGAGGAAGATTGGCACAGATGTTAGCTCAGGGCGAATCTTCCTCAGGGGAAAAAAAAAAAGGGAGAAGCCTCAAATCTAGGAGTGACTAGAACTTGATAAAGTTGCCCATGTTACTGATGAGAAGACACACCCATTTTCATTGCTAAATTATCTATATATAACTCTGTATAATTGTCTTGAAAATTTGTCGAAGTTTATAAATAGTTTGAGAACCTAGAAAAAGTAATTTACTTTTCTGCTATTAAAATAATACCAATTAAAGTTACCAGCAACCCATTGTATCTCTTAATGTCTAGACACAGAACACCATAGGTAATCATTTTAACCTATACTTGTCTCTTCTTCTAATTTTGTATATGGCCCGTCTCCTCAAGAATGTAGTAGAGCGTTAGCTGTCAACCTCTGGAGGCACTTGTGTACCAGCTTGTGTGGGTGGGTGTGTATGTGTATGTGAGTTTCTTTTCTCTTTGCAGGAGCTCAAGAAATAACATACTCCTGAGAAAATTCTGTTCTTTATGTTTTTGCCAGGCACTGCATTTTCCTATTATTTAAGACTGTTTATAAAATTGTATTTTGTTTTATAATTTTTACAGAGGTGAGACTAAAACCTATATGCATTTGATAATTCCTTCCAGATTAAATGTTTAGAAAGTATAAATCATATTACAGTGTGTGTGTGAGGATGTCTCTCTTTTAAGGCAGCATGATCTTAAGGCTTGTAAAAGCTAGACCTTCATCATTACAGATTGCCAAAGACTTCATCCTTTCAGATTCTCAGAGTCTCTTTGATTGCTTATTGCAAAGAAATCATCTAGTGGGCCAGCCTGGTGGTGCGGTGGTTAAGTTTGCATGTTCTGCTTTGGCGGCCCAGGGTTCACTGGGTTGGATCCCAGGTGTGGACCTATACACCACTTATCAAGCCATTCTGTGGCAGGCATCCCACATATAAAGTAGAGGAAGATGGGCACGGATGTTAACTCAGGGCCAGTCTTCCTCAGCAAAAAGAGGAGGATTCGCAGTAGATGTTAGCTCATGGCTAATCTTCCTCAAAAAAAAAAAGAAATCATCTAGCAACATTTAGATAAAATTAGGAAAGGGGTCTTTTTGAAGCCACCTACATTACCTATAAAAATTTACTATTAGTCGTATCTTGGCTTTACAGAGCTCTTTTTCTCATGTAACTTTGCACTTTGCACTTATTCTAATCCTCTTTAAAAGGTCAGAGGCAAACTCTACTTTGCTCACTTTGCAAAAGTCAGACTAAGACAGAGAAGAATTTGCCCAAAATCTAACACGTTGGTGAAAGCAAGGTTTAAAATGACAAAGCACACTTTTCTAAGCCCATCTCATACCTAGAGAATTAGACTGTCTCAAATTACGAAATCCAAGGATCTTGTTACTTAATTCTGTCTGTATGAGAAATTTATAAGCATTTGTCATATATACATAAATGTATATGTATTTTCACACATATATGTCTCTTAGGATGAACAGAAATATAAGATATGATGTATCTTTTATTGAATCATAATTTGAAATATTCCAAGAGCTTCTTTCCTCGCTTTGACTCAGTCTAACTGCAGAGTGACCTTCAGTGCCTTGACCACCCCTTCCCCAGCAGCAGCCTGGATTTGTCATATAAAACTGTTGCTCTGGGGCTGGCCAGGTGGTACAGTGGTTAAATTCGCGCACTCAGCTTTGGCAGCCTGTAGTTTGTGAGCTCAGATCTCAGGCACAGACCCATACACTGCTCATGAAACCACGCTTTGGCAGCATCCCACACACAAAATGGAAGAAGATTGGCACAGATGTTAGCCCAGGGACAATCTTCTTCAGCAGAAAAATAAAAAATAAAAATAGAAAACCTGTTGCTCTAACTTGAATGCGTCTAGAATTCATCAAGGTTGTGAAATCACTGATATTTAGAGCTTCCAGTGTTGAGCTCATAATATTTTAAATATGAAAAGGAAAATGTAGTAGAAACATAATTGACAAATGCTTATAATGATTGAAAGGAAAAATCTCTCAATGTAAAGTTATTGACATATATTTCTTTTCATTCACCCTTTTCTATTCCTGTTGTACTTTTGGTGGTAGATTTTTTTGTTCGATTGATCTGTTTTTTGTGCTTCTTCCCCAGGCAACTGATTAGTGTTAACCATTAGATCTATTTTGACACAAAGTTTTATATTTAATTAGATCCGTTTTCTCCTCTATTACAATCAGGAAATGAATATGAGTGTAAAAAGGGAATTGGACTAAAAAAAGACAAAAAACACATTTATAAGGTTATACCTGCATAGGATAGATGAATCTACACAGAATATTCTCTTTTCAAAATGAAAAAAAGTAAACAGCACCAGCCCTATGTCAATGTTTTGCATCTGTTAATATTGTGCCCTCTGCGTGAATTCATAGAGAGGATGAAAACTCACAGAACAATTAAAAGCTGGTGCAACGGTGTCCTCTGTGTCTGCGGTTTCCCCTTTGCCTGTAAAATTCTAATCATTTTTTTCTATTTCTCAGATAATTTATGTGTGTATACTTTTCTTAAATGTACAAAAGAATTTTTTAGTGAGAAAAAGTTTGTTGGTGCTGTTTAAAAGCTCAATTTCATATTATTCATATTATTTTTGTTCTAACTGAATATGAATTAAAGTTTTATTAGCTATTAGATTGAAATGTTGTGTATGGCATTTATACTATTAGAGGAATGTCTAAAATTTCTGTAATTTTTTTTAAAAACCTAGATCCAGGGCTGGCCTGGTGGCACAGCAGTTAAGTGCGCACGTTCCACTTCGTTGGCCTGGGGTTCGCAGGTTTGGATCCTGGGTGCGGACATGGCACCGCTTGGCAAGCCATGCTGTGGTAGGCGTCCCACATATAAAGTAGAGGAAGATGGGCCTGGATGTTAGCTCAGGGCCAGTATTCCTCAGCAAAAAAGAGGAGGATTGGCGGCAGATGTTAGCTCAGGGCTAATCTTCCTCAAGAAAAAAAAAAAATGCTAGATCCTTTTGTAGACCATGCCTGTGTGGCACTTTGGAACACATATGACGTATATTGATGTCTCCGTCTTCTGTATTGCGTGTTTCCTCCAACATTGTTTTGTTATTTGAAATGTTTCTCTAACAGTTTAAGAGTTTAAGGCAATCTAGTACAAACATATCAGTATTTTCATTATCTGGAAAAAGTAACCCGTCTTTTTGAATGCATATTTTTCCTACAGCCTTGATTATGTTTTTGTTTTAATGGATTTCCTATTACAGACACTTTTGATACATTTGAAGAAACTTTGTACTAAGTAAATATTTGTTGCTTGTTTCAATTAAACATTCTTCCACCTCATATAATGGCATATAATTATATGAATTAAATGTGAACAACACACTGCATATTTTCAAAACAATGTTTACAGCATGGTGTTGCTATATATATATATATCTTTCATCCAGAGGGACTAGCATTCTATTTAAACAATTTAATTGCAGTTTTGAAAGTGCTATTTTTCTTTAATACAGTTTTAATATTTAATATATTGTTTGAGGCAAATTTATTATTTTATTTTATTTTATTTTTCTTAAAGATTGGCACCTGGGCTAACAACTGTTGCCAATTTTTTTTTTTTTCTGCTTTATCTCCCCAAACCTCCCCTGTACACAGTTGTATATCTTAGTTGCAGGTCCTTCTAGTTGTGGGATGTGGGACGCCGCCTCAACGTGGCCTGATGAGCGGTGCCATGTCCGCGCCCAGGATCCGAACCCTGGACTGCCGCAGCGGAGCACGCTAACTTAACCACTCAGCCGTGGAGCCGGCCCCGACGCAAATTTATAATATACTACACCTTAAAACTGAATTTATTTCTGTGACCAATATCTATACATAATTTAAAAATCAGAAGAAAAGATAGTTATGTTATACTAAATTATAAGAGTAACAGTACTTCCAGCTTAAGAGAAAAACATTAAGTAATACTAAGTATTATACACATAAATAAACTGATTATTATTGAATATTACTTTGTATTAAACATTTAGACCAACTTAAATTTTTTTGGATCCAATTGAGTCATACATAAATGTTAATATTTATACTCTTTAAAATTACTTTAATCCAGGTAATTGGAAGACAAGCTAGTGACTAGGAGAAAATATTTGCAAAAGACACATCTGATAAAGGACTCTTATCCAAATTATACAAAGAACTCTTTCAACAGTAAGAAAACAAACAACCTAATTTTAAAAAAATGGGCAAAAGATCTGAAAAGACACCTGACCATAGAAGACACACAGATGGCAAGTAAGCATATGGAAAGATATTCAACATCATACATCATTAGAGGATTGCAAATCAAAACAACAAAGAGATACCACTACACACCTACTAGAATGGCCAAAATTTGGAACACTGACCACACTGAATGTTGGTGAGGATGTGGAGCAACAGGAGCTCTCATTCATTGCTGGTGGGAATGCAGAATAGTACAGTCTCTTTGGAAGACAATTTGGCAGTTTCCAACAAAACTAAATATACTCTTATCATTTATCCAGCAGTTGTACCTCCTGGTATGTACCCAAATGAGTTGAAAACTTATGTCCACACAAAAACCTGCACATAGATGCTCACAGCGGCTTTATAACTGCCAGAACTTGGAGGTAACCAAGATGTCCTTCAGTAGGTGAACAGATAAACTGTGGTCCACTCAGATAATGGAATAGTATTCAGTGTTAAAAAGAAATGAGCTATCAAGCCATGAAAAGACATGATGGAAACTTAAATGCATATGAGTAAGTGACAGAAGCCGATGTGAAAAGGCTACATATGTATGATTCTAACTATATGATGTTCTTGAAAAGGCAAAACTATGGAGGTAGTAAAAAATCAGTGGAGGGATGAACAGGCAGATCACAGAGGATTTTCAGGGCAGTGAAACTGCTCTGTATGATACTATAATGGTGGATACATGTCTTTACACATGTGTCCAAACCCGTAGAATGTACAACACCAAGAGTGAACCCTGGGGCCGGCCCAGTGGTGCAGTGGTTAAGTGCGCACGTTCCGCTTCGGCAGCCCGAGATTCGCTGGTTCGGATCCCGGATGCAGACATGGCACCATTTGATAAGCCATGCTGTGGTAAGTGTCCCACATATAAAGTAGAGGAAGACGGGCATGGATGTTAGCTCAGGGTCAGTCTTCCTCAGCAAAAAGTGGAGGATTGGCGGTAGATGTTAGCTCAGGGCTAATCTTCCTCAAAAAAAAAAAAAAAACAACTAGGTGGAATAGGCACATTTCCTCTAAAGGTAGAACCTGTCCTAAGAACAGCTTAGTAAATATGCTTCCAACAAAGATACTAACTTGAAGAAGAAAGAGAACTTTGGGGACTAGAGCCATAGAGATTTGGGAGGTGGAGAGATTAAAAACACCCTTAAGGATCTGGCCCCATGGCCAAATGGTTAAGTTCGTGTGCTCTGCATTGGCGGTCCAGGCTTTTGCTGATTTGGATCCTGGGCACAGACCTAGCACCACTCATCAAGCCACGCTGAGATGGTGTCCCACATGGCACAACTAGAAGGACGTACAACTAGAATATACAACTATGTACTGGGGGACTTTGGAGAGAAAGAAAAAAAACGATTGGCAACAGACATTAGCTCAGGTGCCAATCT